CTTGAGGCTCATTGCTGTCGGCAAGGTTCTTTCTGATTTCTCTAAGCGTGTAGGCTTGCATTTCCATATTAAGTCTCTCCGTACTAGCATCCCACGGTATTATATCCCCAGATGGCAGCCTTGCACCTCGGAGAGGAGCGGGTGAGTTTCTACGGGGCTTGACAGCATTGACAGGCGTAAGGCGCAGAAGGGAGACACTCGGTTTTTTACCGATCTCTTTGACAGGCTCCTGGCTCGTCATGCGGTTTTGCGGTTCCGTCCTAGATACATCCAAAGGGGCGGGGGGTTTCGTTTCCGTAGGCGGTCCGGTCTCCGCTGCAGGAATAACCTTGCGTTCGCGAAACACCGCGATATTTTGTCTTGCCAGGTGTTCTCCTTGCATTTGCACGCTCAACATTATTATTTCCCGCCCCATGCACCAGTTTTCGAGACAGGTGGAAGCGACGGGGTTCCGCAATTACTCGAGGTAATCGTGCTACGTCCGGAGCCCTCTATTATTCGCGGGTGGCACAGCTCCAACTTCATCCTGTCTCATTGTAACGTGCCGCGTCTCCGGAGGGACAGCAGGCTGGGTGTTGCTCAGGTTTCGGCCCGGCTGGTCTCTAAATTCATCCCCTGGTTGGCTGGTTTTAACCTGTGGTGCTCTCGGGCCATTTTCTAGAGCAGATGTATATCCCGCAGAGTCCGCGACGGTGAATGCATTTGGTCGCGAGCCCTGGACGATTCGTTGTCGCTTGAATATAAACTGGCCAGCATTTCGACCCCTGGCAAGTTCATCGTGCACACCTATATATACAAGTGTCAGCAGAAACCTTCAACTGGGTTCTGTTTGTACGAGCTTACGCAAAATCTCCACAGGATCCTCAGTGGCCTTCCTCTTGATCTGGACTCTGGTTGGAGGTAACATGGTCTATTGTAAGTTGCGGACGTCGAAAACTTCCCGGATACTCAATATGGGGTATTCTGGTGATATTTGAGTAGATTATTGCGTGAAATCTGCACGGGTTGCAAGATTAACACAAAGCGACACGATTTCCCGATTCTGTTGAAGTTGAAAGTTCCATAAATTTAGCGCCTATCATGGCCCGCGATAAGCCTCTGACGCGCCCAATGTGGGTAAACAATAACCCCACCAAACAACGGTTATATCCTCAAATTAATTCCGCCATGAATAAAAATTATACATAAAGACTCCTTAAATTACTCTTTCACATGGTATTATTTGTAGGGACTTATGTACTAATGAAATAGCAATCGATTAGCTGACGATATTAGGATCTGAAGGATTAGATTGGGAAGAGTGGGGTGCCGATAGACGCTAACGCTTACTTCGATGATGACAGTTAGGGGAATTAAATATTCGAGTATGTTGTATCTACAAGTTCATTAAATTCCATTGAATTAATTTACTACTTAAAATGTGAAATATTAATCCAATGGGCCAAAGACTGGCCCATCTGCTCTTGAGAACTAAAAAAAATGCAAAAAGACTCGTCAGATTCCTGCGATTCTGGATATCTGATGAGGGAGAAAATCATGTTTTGTGATTTTGCTTTTTGGCGCTTATTTGTCGAATCCGTAACCTTTCCAAACCCAGGCCAGACTGTCCTGACAGTGGTACTTCTACTGCGCCACTGTGCCGCTATCTGGGAGGAAGACGACTGGATTTGATATATATAGGTAGTCTGGTGCTTGTCAGCTTGGTGACACCTGATTTCTGAGGGGACAATGGGTGCCTGCCAGGCCTCAGGATGAGAATGATATACATATATAGTACTCGAAGCATATTGTAGCAACATCAAACCTGAAATTCCACAAGTATAAACTGAGGTTTCTAGACAGACATATGGAACACACCTTGATCTTCAAGATCGAGAGCCCATATTTTGATCTTCGATGGTTGAAATTTGAAGCAGCCTTCTACGCAACCAGAAGTTGCTTATTGATGAGTTGCGTGGGAGCTTCGGATACACAACGGAAATAATGCAGTACGACGCAATTCAAAAGAGACGATATCATCTTCCACCCCCACAAGCAAGGTAATGTACAATTTGCACACCAGTCAGTGCTCTCTTTATATCCACATCAACTCGCAACCACACATCATCAGTGTTACGAGATGAATAGCAGCCACAGGATCTCAGCACTCTGTGATGGCTGTGCCAGCAAAGAGGCTTCCCAACTTGGGAGACACGGCTCTGTTCGAACAGGCCAAAGAGTGTTTGCATTTTCGTCATCCTGGTTTATGCACCTATCTACACCGTGTGACCAATGAACAAAGAAAAACTTACGATAGAAGACACATTTTGCTATGCCGTTCTGAAGTAAGGGAAGTAAGGGGTGTAGCAAAATTGTGAGACAGCAAGCAAACTCCTGAAACATAGAGCATTTTTGACAATCAAGTGACTTTGTGGAAAGATGCACGACTTCTTGAGAGGTTACTCAAAGCTAAGCGCCGTGGTTGATTCATACCGACGTTGCTCAAAGTCGTCGTTGACAGTTGAAAAGCGAACGCCCAATTTCTATATGTCACACGTGATCAAACTACTCCAAATCGGACTAATCCCAATATGGAACTACCAGCAATCATATGGGGTTCTACCGAGTACAACATCCTTTGATAGATATTGGCCAAGACCTTGTAAATCATGACAAGTGTCGTTATGATCCTGCACTATCGATCGCTCCTGTGACTCTCCAGCCGCCCTGGGCAACCACTGCCGCCCCTTCGTCGCTCGCAATTCCACCGCACCGATGATATCCATAACTAATGTGTCTGCATCTTGCTTCTCAATACAAAAAGGGTTGCTTTCCTTCCCACCTTTAGCAAGTAAGGGTAGAACGTGGCAAATCCCAGGCACAAACTGTAAACTGGCGCCACTGGAACGGCCGAACCCATCCAATCTCAACGCCACGCTCAGGATCTCACTCGCCGTATCTAATTCTCCCACTCGAATTGTCAGCTCTATGGTTAATCGCCGATATAACAGGAATGAATGCTCGACTTCCATGCTTCGATAGAGATGTAATCCACACCCCCCCAATGAAGCTTGAGGTTGCGCATAGAGCTTCATTGCGGCAGCGAGGGCTTCCCGCATTCTCTCCTGCGAAGGGTACACTCCTTGATTCTCCTCTTTAGCCAGAAGACGGGAGCACATCACCAGTACGGCAAGATTATCAGTCTCGCACCAGATGTGCGGATTCGTCTTTCGTTCTCAACCTCCACCCTCCTCCAGCTGTCTTCATCCATCCCGCCCCCCTCCCTCAAATCCCCCAACCACACCCAAAAATATCTTCTAACGCACCCCAGCGGCCTCATATCCGGCGAATCCCCCACCAGAGAAAAAACACAATGTCCCCGCCATCCACCATCTACCCACCAACACGCACATCATAGACTCCACCCCATCGCCAAGTTCCTCGAGGCCACATACCCCCCACCCCCCTCCTCTAACCTCCTCGCTAGACGGCACCATCGAGTTACAGGCACGCTCTGTCGTCGGCCCAACGTTCCGCGCCTCAGTGGTGCCGCGCGAGATCAACATCCTCTCGCTCAGGTCACAGGAGTACTTCCGGCGCACGCGCGAGGCGGCGCTAGGGCGTAAGCTCGAGGATTGCTTGATGCGGAGGAGGAGAGCTGGAAGGCTGTCTGTGAGGGAATGAGGGTGGGTGAGCTGATGAGGACGAATAAGGCGGAGGGGCCGTTTGTGTTGGGTGCGCGACCGAGTTATACGGATTTCTTTATTGCGGGTCGTTGCAGTTGGCGAGGGTGGTGGACGAGGGTGGCGGATGAGGGTGTTTTTGAGAGGCATATGAAGTATGTTAGGTATAAGGAGGTTTATGAGGCTTGTTTGCCTTAACGTAAGTCGTGGCGTACTGGCGGTAGTGGGGTGGTTAGAACCACCCCATCAAACTTACCATCTTACCTACCCAACTCCATTATGGTACGTCGAAAGAGCGTAGAGGCTCAAGAGCGTAATATTGCAATAGATCAAGCTATATTAGCTATTCATTCCAAACAATATAAGTCAGTGTACGCAGCTGCCAAAGCACTTGACACTTGACCTCCCAGAACAATCTATCCGTCGTCGTATGAATGGAGGCCACACACGCGTAGAAGCGCGTCAAAAACAACAACTATTATCAAAAACGCAAGAAGAAACACTCTTAAAGTGGATTAGAGAGCTAACAAGTAGCGGATATGCACCTAGCCACCGAATACTACGAGAAATTGCAGAAGAGGTTCGAGCAGACCATTGCCAGGTTTTTAATTTACACGACCAACTTCACAATCAACTTCACGAACAATTTCAACCTATACCACACCTTCCATTAGGACAAGATTAGGTTCCACACTTTATTAAACGACATCCACATCTACAAGTATGACTAGGAAGACAAATTGAAGTGCAAAGGATGAGTGGAGTTACAAAACAAGTCGTACAAGGGTGGTTTGACGCATATAAGGTGTCATACTGATATTCGTTGCACTCAGTTTGCTATGCCATTTGCTTCCACAAACACTCTTTGCTTACCGTGACCCTATGCAATAGGGTTAGTTCTAACAATTATAGGGATGGCAAAAGGCTTGTTTAGGATAACAAGGCTTAGTGGAACCCATGGTATTTAATGCTTCATTATGCTCTTAACAATAAGATAAAGAGCGCTATTAATATATACTGTCATAAAGAGTATTTTGGCTTTCTTAAGATGAATTGCTTAAGAGCAACTAGATAGTACTACAGCATATCTATGACTTCCTTTATTTCTTTTATAAAGCAACATTGTTCATAGAAGGCTAGGAAGCTACACTAGAACAGGTATTGTTACCTATAGAGTTCCTTCTTAAGTAATTAGAAAAGGGGAAAGAGATGTTTAAGGATGATTTAATGCTTAGACTATGTTTTAACTCTACATAGGAGGTTATGAATAAGTATTATTCACTTACTAAGTAGTAAATAATAACGTACATGTACTCGGTGTTCCACCCACTCGCTTCGCTCGTAGGTGGCGACAGCAAGTTGTGCGTGCGACAGCAAGATGTGCGTACACCGCTATTTTGATATATAGAAAAAATAATAGTATTCTTCATAACGTAGTATCTACAATGCCTCAAAATAACGATCCTACTATGATTGCTCGCCTTAATGAGGCCCAACAGTTCTTCTTAAAACAACCAAGTACATATACAATTGCTTGGGTTGCAAATAAATTCAATGTCAACCGTGAGACACTCCGATGTCGTATTACGAGTACTACGTCTCCTCAATTACCCCACGGAGGTAGCAATCGAGTCTTATCTCAATCGCAAGAGACCGCGGTCTGTCAATTCATATACGACCAACTTGAGCGCGGGGTCCCTGCCAACCGATCTATGATACTACGGGCAGTTGCAGACTTACGACCTAATCGTACGATACCATCACAACGGTGGCTACAACGCTTTCTAAAAGCACACCCCGAATTTCATACAATTCACACGAAGACGTTAAATACACATCGGAAGCAAGCACAAAAGAAAGAGGTGTTTGAGGAATTCTTTCTCACATATAACGCCCTTATTACAAAACATAACATTAAGCCATATAATTTATGGAATGTTGATGAGACAGGCTATATGATTGGGTGTTATAAGTCTACGGCTGTTATTGTACCAATCGGTGTAAAGCAGTGGACTGTTGATAATCCTGAGAATCGGCTCTCTGTTACTGTAATTGAGGCAGTAAATGCAAGTGGTGCTGCACTTGCAGAAGCTATCATTATCCTGGCAAACTTCATATGGATTCATGGTACAATGATGACCTTGAGCCAAATGCTCTCATTATTGTAAATGAGAGCGGGTATTCAAACGACGACATTGCAATCCAATACCTTATGCATTTTATCCAACTATCTGCAGAGCATATGGCACCAGATGATACTCGCCTCTTATTACTTGACGGCCATGACTCTCATAAAACAGAGCGCTTTCTTACATTAGCAGAAGAGCATAACATTGTTATTTGCTGCCTTCCTGCTCATACAACACATCTATTACAACCTCTTGATGTAGCGGTTTTTAAGCAGTGCAAACACTTTCATCAAAAGGCACTTGATCAAGCAGTACGTAGCTACGACTATGAGTATAAGCTACGTACGTTCCTTTCAGACCTCCCGCAAATCCGACGGCAATCTCTAACTGTCCGTACAATTCAATCTGGTTGGAGAAATACAGGACTATATCCATATAATCCTCCACTTGTAATTGACAAGATACAAGAGACTCGGAATCAAACACCTGATTATGAGCCATTTGCTTCATATAATATTATCTCAACACCGAAAACAACTATGCAAAGTGTGCAAGCGGTTGAACATTGGCAGAAGAGAGCAGAGGAAGCTTTCTCATCGCCTTCAAGAGAAGGGTTTCAATCATTTGCACGTGGAACTACAGTTGTTCTACACCGGGCAGAGCTCTATAAGACCGAGCTAGATATTATGACTCTACGTGCAGTAGAGCAGAAGGCAGCAAAGGCAAGGGCACGGAAATCACTACAGAAAGGAGGGCAGTTATATGCATCAGATGCACGGAAAATGCGGGAAGAGAAGAAAGCAAAGTTGCAAGCAAAAGCAGACGCAAGAGCAGCAAGGGAATCGGACCAAGTAGTAAAGCAGCTACAAGCGCAAGCACGTAAAATCGAAATTGAAGAGCGTAAGGTTGAGAGGAAGCGGGTAGCAGAGCGGAAGAAGGAAGGGTTGAAATCAAAAGTGATCATTTTACGGTATAGTAAGGATCAAAGTGATAGTAGCAATAGTGGCAGTAGCGATAGTGATAGTAGTTCTATTGATTTTATGTTTTAATTATATAGTTATATAGTTGATATATAAGGCGTCTTTTTCTTCGTTTTATGTGTCGCACATCTTGCTGTCGCACGCACAACTTGCTGTCGCCACCTACGAGCGAAGCGAGTGGGTGGAACACCGAGTATAGCGAAAGCGCCAAACAAGCGAAAGCGCCAAATGATGCGGTGACCAAACCCCCCAACTAAATGTTAAATTCCTCAACAACAAAACATGCCCCATAAAAACGATGAAAGCCAATTAGTGCTAGCTATCCAGGCTATGCAAAGCGACCCAAAGTTACGCCTTCGAATTGCTGCTAGGATCTATTCTGTGGACCACCGCAAGCTAGGTCGTCGTCTAGATGGTGTACCTTCACGACGCGATATCCAAGCCAACTCACGGAAATTAACTAACCTAGAAGAGTCCGTCCTTGTTCAGTATATACTCGACCTAGCTGCCAAAGGGTTTCCTCCTCGGCTGTCTGTTGTTGAAGATATGGCAAGTCGACTACTTGCAACACGCGACGCGTCACGCGTTGGGTCGCGTTGGGCTTCAAACTTTGTTAAGCGGCGTGTAGAGCTCCAGACACGCTTTCAGCGCAAATACGACTACCAGAGGGCTAAGTGCGAAGATCCAGAAGTTATTAATGGCTGGTTTGAGCTTGTGCGTAACACAATTGCGAAATATGGTATCGATGAAGCAGATATCTACAACTTTGATGAGACTGGGTTTATGATGGGCGTTATCTCAACTGCTATGGTTGTAACAAGCTCAGACGGGCGGGCAAAAGCAAAGAAGGTACAGCCTGGTAATCGGGAATGGGTTACAGTAATCCAAGGCGTTAGTTCTCAAGGTTGGGCAGTACCACCATTTATCATTGTTGCAGGCAAAAACCACCTTACATCTTGGTATGAGAATAGTGGATTTTCAAGCGATTGGGTGATTTCTGTTACTGAAAATGGCTGGACTACAAACGAGAGAGGCATGGATTGGATTCAGCACTTTGAGAAGCATACAAAGGCCCGGAGTGTTGGTGGTTATCGCTTGTTAGTCCTTGATGGTCATGAGAGCCACCACTCAGATGAGTTTGAGGAGTACTGCAAGGAACACAACATTATTACGCTTTGTATGCCTGCTCACTCTTCTCATCTACTCCAGCCACTTGATGTTGGCTGTTTCGGCCCGTTTAAAGCAGGCCTATGGTCGGCAAATTGAAGATATGATGCAGGCTCATATTTCTCATATTACAAAGGATGACTTCTTTCCTGCCTTCCACACTGCATTTAACACTACAATGACGGAAAGTAACATTTGAGGCGGGTTCCGAGGGGCAGGGCTTCTTCCATTTGACCCTGAGAGAGTGATATCTACACTTGATCTTAAGTTAAGGACACCAACGCCTCCAAGCTCCCGCCCAGGTACTGCTCAACCTTGGGTTTCTCAGACACCAAACAACCCAATTGAAGCTATGTCACAGTCTACATTTATTAAAACTCGGATTTCACGCCATCAAAATAGCTCTCCAACCTCAATCTATGCAGCTGTTGACCAGTTTACAAAGGGTGCATCGCAAATAATGCATCAATTAGCACTGCTAAAGGGAGAGAACCAAAACCTACGACAGGCAAATGAAGTACTAAGCAAGCGCCGGAGAGCTAGGAAAACACGACTACAGCAAGGAGGATCACTTAGTCAACAAGGGGCGCAAGAGCTACAGGATGAGAGGGATGTTGTGCAGCAGGTAGAGCAGGAAATAAGGGCAAGCCGTGGTCGGAAGCCAAGGGAAGAAACCCGTGCCCGTCACTGTGGCAAGTGTGGTGAGACTGGGCACAATGCGCGCACGTGTCAGATTGTAATAGACACCTCTGAGGAAGAGGACTCTGAGTAGTTTCAATTGATTTCTAATGTTGTGGTAGATTTATCGCAATGTTTGTCATGAGGGTAGATAATTTTGGCGCTTTCGCTTGTTTGGCGCTTTCGCTATACATGTACGTTATATTAAACTAATTATATGATTTATATTGCTTTTCTTTAATATATAACTATAATATATTATAACGTACATGTATAACAAACCGGCCAAACAAGCGAACCGGCCAATCCATTTTACACCTTAAATCACGAATTTCATAACTTAATATCTCAACAACCCTTTAATAATAAGTTATAAAAATATGTACTTAGCCTTTTATAAGCATTTAAAGTACTCTATTTGATTTTTAAAGCAATTAGTATTGTAGTTATTAAGATACTAAGAATTAGGTCAAAAGTGGGGGCTAAAACTCAATATCTTAATAACTACAATACTAATTGCTTTAAAAATCAAATAGAGTACTTTAAATGCTTATAAAAGGCTAAGTACATATTTTTATAACTTATTATTAAAGGGTTGTTGAGATATTAAGTTATGAAATTCGTGATTTAAGGTATAAAATGGATTGGCCGGTTCGCTTGTTTGGCCGGTTCGTTATACATGTACGTTATTGCTAAGCTTTATTAGTGTTATATGATTGTAATGCAATATGGTCTTCTGCTATATGATTGTAATACAATATAGGAATTTTATTCTAATATATTGCTATCAAGACTTGATTGATATCACACCTTGCCCTCCCCTTACACTATAGAAATCTCCTTATCTCAAACCCGCAAGCCTTTCTCTCCCTTTCTTCCCATTTCCGTCCCATACTGGCTGACTATACGGGCTGGAATAGTGTTGACGTGAAAAAAAGGCATGAGAGCCCACGAGAAAAACCCTTCTGTTAATAAAGGCGAGACCGAAAAAAGAAAGCCCCACTGCACCTACTAGCTCCACCAAGCCAACCAATCACTGTTCTTGCCAGACTGAGCATATTATAGTATGGGTGATAGTGTCTGCCCGTCGCGCAGGGACAATGTCAACACAAAAAACAAATGCAAAAGAGCTCTCAAAAAACACCCTTGGCAAGAACACCAGACAGAAAGAAAGAAAGCACCTACTGCACTTACCCCTATCCCCATCCAACCAACCCATCACCCTCCTCCCCATCAACTTACTGTGCGCTCCAAGATCTCATACCCAGCGCCGCATCCTCTCTTCCCCTCTTCCCGACACTGCCGCTTACCTGCCACCCCCATTCCCACCTTCTACCCATCGAGCCACACCCCAACACCTGCCGCCCCCCATCCGGCCCCCAAGTCGGCACTTTACCAGCCACCCCCTATGACACCCCTCTCCCACCCCTCACACCCTGCTCAGACATGCCATCCCATCCACACACGTCATTGTCATACTGACATTCGTTGCACTCAGTTTGCTATCAAACTCAAGAGCAAACTTGGAAATCTCCTCCTCACACCTACAAGTCACTATACATATTTTGGCTTATCACACCAACAACAAGAGCAATACTACTCAACGATTGCTACAACCATCTATGATTCATTACATGACATCACTCATACTACCACATGACATATCTCTACCAACTAGAGGCCTAGGAGCATGAACGATAGCTCTAAAAGCTCCTACGAACCTCTATGATTCATTACATGTCATCGCTCTTTAGTTACCCACAAGATTGGTTAAGTTATGACATAATTTGTCTATGACATAATTTGTCTATGACATAATTTGTCTATAGGGGTACTCTGACCTTGGACCTCCTTTTACTTCCTATAGGCTACAAACCTAAGAGATGGTTCTATGGGATTCTCTTACGTCGACTACAGTTACCAAGCCTGGTAATCATGGAAAGTCTTGGAAAATGAGAAAACTACACTCCTTTAGCATAAATAGGATTGCCCTTTCCTTAAGAAAGGGCAAGCAGACAATACAGTAAATCGACTATCACATACTTCCACGTCTTTTCCAAGCTTCCAAGCATTCATCTTGTTACTCCTTGTTTCTGAAAAGTCAGTGAGGTGTTAACCTCTGACTTACCCCTGAGTTCCCAGACTCAACATTTGTTGCAACTTGTCTGAACCACTTCACTACATCACACACCTGATTGCTGCGTTGTGGAATAGTCTAAGCTACGACCCTTTGGCTCTGTTTTCTAAGACAGTGTGTTGTCTTAGTAAATTCATCCCTTCCTTGGGTGGCAAGATTCTCACATCTGGTGCACCCACCATTACAGTCATCCCTGTTACAATAACAGCTCACAGCTTGTCACAGCTTGTTATGGTTGTTATGGTTGTTATGGGGATTACGGGTGTAGCCTTCGCCACCAAGGTTACAACCACTAAGCAGACAACTGTATGATTCAATCTTATGTTACGATGGTCCTAGACTGGCATCATGATCTCTATGACCATCGTAACATAAGATTGAATCTCATTTCTTCATTAGCTCTTCCTGAGCAAGAAACCAGAAACCAGCACAAACCTTCGAGCAACAGAACCCTCAAACCAGACACCAACACAAATCTTCGAGCAACAGAACCTCCAGAACCAGAAATCGAAACTCAGACCAAGACATTGCTCTTTAGCAAAGAACTAGATCTAGATACAGAACCAGAAAACCCAGACACAAATACAGCCAAAATCGATTCCAGAACTACACATTGAACCAGAACCAGAACCAGAACACCAGAACATCAAATCCAGAAACTACAAGTCAACTCAATACCACACTCAAGCATCAGAACCCAGAACATTATATCAGCAGAATTAGACCTTTCCGTGATGCTCCCTCAACAAGGATATAACCGTGACAGAAGTGTGCTCCTCTTGAGTGGCTCGTACGGCCGACAACTGCATAATAGGGCCTTCACCACATACGTGTCTAGTTCCTGATACTGACAAAGTCAGAAGAAGATCCTGACCTCGACAATTCTAAGGACAAGAAGTGAAGCCTGCTATAATGGCACGCGATGCACAAGGACATGTCATCCGTGACAGGAGTCAAGATCAAGGACAAGAAACCCAATCTACTACAAGCAATGAGGACTGCTTAGAAAGCCACACCTACAATAGAAGGGAAACACTACTCGAGGATCCAGAACACCAAGCTACTCTTCGCATTTGGGAGCTTAAAGACCTCTCAGTTGTCAGCATCTGGAGCCAAGCCCAGAGAGAGGCTGCGCTTCAAATCCAAAAGCAGATGATGGAGGATTATGATCATGTCACCCAGCTCTACAATACTACCCTCCAGAAGAGTCGAGGAGAAGGCTACATATGATGACAATATCAGCCAGCTACAAGAGGTTATCCAAGCTCATGAGCAGACAATGGCAGGACAAGCTGCTGTTGTGAAATATCTTGAAAATGAGAAGTCAAAAAGCAGCACTACTCGCAATAGAGAATCACACCAGAAATCCACCAAGATCCCAGACCCTCCTACTCTTACAGAGGGAATAGAGCCAGCTTATGATGATTGGAGTATTAAGATAAAGATGAAGCTTGAGGCGAACCTTGACCATTTTCCTACTCCAGCCCTTCAGATGGGTTATGTGCAAAGCAGACTAGGTGGCAAAGCCTCCTCTCACATCAATCCACGCCTTCGATCTACTCAGAACAAGTTTCAAACTGTAGAGGAAATGTTTGAAGTCCTAGACAGAGTCTTCAGTGATCCAGACTGCCGCTTTACTGCACAACGCGCATATAGAAAGCTCTTAAAACAAGGATAACTTTGCTACCTTTTGGGCAGAGTTTCAGAGACTCACTGTTGAACTGGATTACTCAGAAGAGACCCTCATTGATGACCTCTGCCATAAGGTTAATACGAAGATGCAGACTGCTTTAATAGCAGAGATAAATCCAAGCTCTCTTCATGCCTTTGCACAAAAGTGCTTACTGATTGATCAGAATATCCAGCAACTTCAAATCCAAGACGCTCGCACTGTCCCTCGAGTTATTCAGCAAGCCTTTAAGCCACAAGACTTTCACAGTAAGGATAAGCAGCCTACTACAAACCCACCTGCTAGCTTTAGACCACCAAGACTATACCGTGCACCACATCAGAACCCTGCAACTGAGAAGCTAATGCAGGAAGGCCGCTGCTTTCATTGCCAGCAAACTGGACACCGAGCTTATGAATGTCCTACCAAGAATGCTCAAGTCCACGAAGTTAGCACTTATGATGCTCCACTTTCGGGAAAAGAATAACCTTCAGACAAGACGTCCCTGAAGGTGTCATGACAGCCAGAATTGTAACTTCTTCCTCAAGCTTTGGATTAGATCCAGATACTCTATTCATAGTTACTTGTATGATAGGAAAATCAAAAATCAAAGCACAAGCCCTTATCGATACTGGAGCTACTGGAGGAAACTTTGTGAATGCTGTTGATGCAGAATGAATTTGTGAGATAGAAGGCATATCACCAGTAGAGCTTTTAAAGCCACGCCCTATTCAAGGCTTTGATGGAACAGCAGCCCCTCCCATCACTCATGCTATATACCCTCGCCTACAGGTCCAAGACCATGTTGAAAGTCTATGCTCTCTATTCATCACCACTCTTGGGAAACATTCTGTCATTCTTGGGAAGGCTTGGATGAAGCAACATGGACTTATACTTGATATGGTAAATGACCAAGTCATATTTACTAAAGGTCATTGCCAGCACACTACACCAACGAATACTCAACATACGAAACCTACATTGCCCCCAAGTCAATAAGCAAATACAAGATGACAAATCTTGGAAGCCAGCCCTCCAACCTCCTTATAAGAACAAGAACACATGCACTGTCGCAATGATTGGCGCCGCACCATTTAATATGCTTCGGAAGCAGAAGGGAGGTAAGGTTTTTGCAGTATCATTTAAAAATATACTCGCTGAACAGGCAAAGGAGGAAGCGAAGGAAATCAACCCAAAACTGATCCTCCCAAAGGAGTTCCATAAATATCTCGATGTGTTCTCAAAGCAGGCTGCAGATGAACTCCCCCCTCACCGATATGCCGACCACCTCATCGTCTTAGAACAAGATTCGAAATTAGGACATGCGCCCCTTTACAACATGTCAAAGGAGGAACTTGATCTTGTGAAGAAATATATTGACGACAATATGTCGAAAGGATTTATTGAAGCTAGCAAAGCTCCCTTTGCCTCTCCTGTCCTTTTCGTCTGCAAACCAGGTGGCGGACTTCGATTCTCTGTGTTGATTACCGCAAGCTAAATGCCACCACAAGAAAAGACTCATACCCACTACCCCTCATCGATGAAACATTGGCTCAGATCACAGGCGCCAAATATCTTACAAAGATTGACATTCGTCATGCATTTAATCGGATCCGTATGCAAACAAAAGAGGATGAAGATCTCACTACCTTTAAGACGAGATTGGATCATACAAGTACAAGGTCCTCCCTTTTGGCCTTACAAATGGCCCTGCAACATTCCAGCGATATATGAACAAAACCCTTATGGAATACATAAACAAATTTGTTACAGTATATATGGATGATCTCCTCATCTATAGTGCAAATCGATCTGAGCATACCCAGCATGTGCAAATGGTTTTACAGAAGCTCCGCGAAGCTGGACTACAAGCAGACATTGCAAAATGTGAATTCTATGTCCAAGAAACAAAATTCCTAGGGCTTATCATTGGAATCTATGGCATGAGAATGGACCCTGCAAAAGTCCAAACTATACTTGAATGGAAAGCACCAAGGTTGCTCCGAGATACACAAGCCTTCATTGGGTTCTGTGTGTTCTACCAGCGGTTTATAAGAAGCTACTCTACTATTATGAAGCCACTGGTAAATCTCACAAGGAAAGGTCAAATATTTGAATCGAACCAAGCCTGCCAGGCAGCCTTTGAGCTGATTAAAAAGACTGTTACAGAAGCACCTGTGCTACAACACTTCGACCGGGACAAAACAGCGTATGTAGAAGCAGACGCCTCAGTGTTACGGCTATAGTAACATGATGTCATGGTTACAGGCCCAGGGCCTAGTAACGTGACGTGTGAGTCACAGTGGGAAGCGGGGTAGGCTGCCATGTGACGGGGCTAATGGATAGTTGCAGAAACTAGTGGATATTGGATAGTTGAGCTATCCACGAACTATCCTAAATATCTAGCTATCTGCCAACTATCTTACCCATGAGGCACGATGCCACTATATAAGTAGATAGTATTTCCTTAGATAGGAGCTTCGTGCTCAACTCAATATAGTATTCTTTACAATACTGTAACGTGTTACTTGGAAAGCCTTTGTGTCTAATCCCCTGCCTCCTCTGTCAAGTCAACCTTACGCAAGAAACCTCTGTGTCTTCTATCGTTTAGAAGTCAGCGTTACACTCAGGCTATATATCCTCAGGAGTTCTATCACAGAAGGGTGACCAAGGAGTACTACACCCCATTGCCTTCTTGCCAAAGAAAATGACACCTGCTGAGTGCAATTACGAGATCTATGACAAGGAGCTATTGGCCATCATTAGATGCTTCAAAGCATGGAGACCAGAAGTTGAGGGCACAGCAATGCCAGTACAAGTTTTGTCAGACCACAAGAGTCTTGAATATTTCATGAGCACAAAAAAGCTTACTAGGCGGCAAGCTCGATGGGCAGAATTCCTCTCTCGATACAATTTCCAAATCATATATCGACCTGGCAAGCAGAACGGAAAAGCAGATGCATTAACTCGAAGACCAGGGGATAGACCAGAAGGGAATGAAGAAGATGACTGTCAAAAACAACAGCTTCAAACTCTATTACCTCTTAAGAGACTCCATCTGGATCTCGCACAGCAGCTAGAACTCAAAAGTCAAGGGCAGGCACAAGATGCTCAACTTGCACCAATCCTACCACAAGATCAAAGCATCCATGACCAGATTCAAGCTGCACAGCTCCAGGATGAATTATGCAAGGATACAATCCGAAGACTACAGAACAACGAGCGAGATAGCCCAAGTATAGCCTTAGCACATTGCGAAGAGAGAAATGGACTCTTACTCTACCAAAATCGAGTTTGGATCCCAGAGGACATCCAAGTTAAACTCCTACAAGAAGTTCATGACCAGCCAACAATGGGGCACCCTGGAATTGGAAAAATGGTTCGCATCATTAAGAGACAGTACTACTGGCCTCGTATGGACAAGACTATCATTCAATATGTAAAGAATTGCCATATCTGCAAGAGATCAAAAGCAACCCGAGATGCATATAATGGACTCCTACAACCAATCCTAATCGGAAGCCAACCATGGAAGGACATATCACTCTATTTTATTACAGGATTACCATTATGTGAAGGAAACAATTCTATCCTTGTAGTTACAAAAGAGTGCCATTTTATCCCATGCTTTGCAGGTAAAGAAGGCACTACAGCAGAAGCTACAGCAAGGTTACTACTCCAGCATGTATGGAAACACCATGGTTTACCAAATTCCATCATCTCAGACAGAGGGCCCCAGTTTGTAGCTGTAGTGTGGAAAAGCCTCTGCAAAGTTTGGAAAGTTACAACCAAATTGTCTACAGCCTTCCACCCAGAAACGGACAGGCAAACTGAGAGGTTTAATGCAGAACTCGAGCGATATTTACGGGCTCATGTCAACTATCTCCAAGACAACTGGGTTGAATATCTTTGCATGGCTGAATTCACAGCAAATGCCCTTCCATCAGACTCAACAAAAGTTAGCCCATTTTTTGCAAACAAGGGTTTCGAGCCAAGAATGAGCTTTGATATAGAGCATAGCACGTTCCAAACTGCCCTTCAAGAACATAAGGAGATAGCTCAAAACATGAAAGATATTTGGGAATTCCTACAAGACCAGATCGCCCTCTCACAAACCTGAATGGAGCACTTTGCAAATCAAAACAGGAAGCCAGCACCAAGATATAAGATAGGAGACCGAGTCTGGCTTTCTACTCGGAATATCAAAACCCAACGACCCTCAAAGAAACTTGACCATAAGCAAGTTGGTCCATTTCAAATCCTTGAGCAAATTGGGAATGTTGCATACCGACTCCAGCTACCACCAAGCATGAATATACACCCTGTGTTTCATAGCAACCTCTTACGACTTGACTCAGATGATGCTTTACAAGGCCAGCACCATGAACTACCCCTGCCAATCATTATAGAAGATGAACTTGAATGGGAAGTTAAAGAAATCCTAGATTCTAAACTCCTATGGAAGAAGCTGTTCTATATGGCAGCATGGAAGAACCACCCACTAGACAACAGTTGGTATCCTGCTACAAACTTCAACAATGTACCTGAACTCACACAAGCTTTCCACCGAAAATACCTGCAGAAGCCACAATGATCTTACTCTTGATCAGGAGATCAATCTTACTAGGGGGGGGGGTAGTGTTACGATTACAGCTCACAGCTTGTCACAGCTTGTTACGGTTGTTACGGTTGTTACGGTTATTATGGTTATTATGGTTATTACGGTTGTTATGGGGATTACGGGTGTAGCCTTAGCCACCAAGGTTACAACTGCTAAGCAGACAACTGTATGTTATGAGGAATAGCCTCACCTTCCTTCCTTCTTCTTCTTCTTCTCTCTTTAGATTCAATCTAGATTACTTTTCCTGGACTGGCATCATGACCACTATGACCATCGTAACAATCCCATCCCATGACATGACACCTCCCCGTCCATGCGAGAGCCTGACGAATGACTCGCAGACCAGCAGCCGCATAAAACGCTGACTTCTAAACGATAGAAGACACAGAGGTTTCTTGCGTAAGGTTGACTTGACAGAGGAGGCAGGGGATTAGACACAAAGGCTTTCCATGTAACACGTTACAGTATTGTAAAGAATACTATATTGTGTTAAGCATGAACCTCCTATCTAAGGAAATACTATCTACTTATATAGTGGCATCGTGCCTCATGGGTAAGATAGCTGGCAGATAGCTAGATATTTAGGATAGTTCGTGGATAGCTCAACTATCCAATATCCACTAGTTTCTGCAACTATCCATTAGCCCTGTCACATGGCAGCCTACCCTGTTTGCCCCCTGTACTCACATGTCACGTTACTAGGCCCTGGTCCTGTAACCATGACGTCATGTTACCATAGCCGTAACACCGCACCCGTCCATCGCTCGCTCCATCTCTCTATTCGCCACGCAACAAAGCCACCTCCTTAAACTGTGCCCCCCTCCCCACAGCGATGCGGCGATGAGACATGGCATTGGGGATCACCA